AAAAGAGAACACTAGCGAGGAGAGTAATTCGTGAGATTCCACTAAACGGTGTTGTCTAGTCGAATGTCTCATTCAATAGAAAATTAAAATGGCACGCCACTTTCTTCGGCAACATGAATACATTTAGTTTATGCACTACGCCGTCAAACCCCTAGGTTACTTCTAGCGGCTGTGCGTTGTCCCGTGAAAGTTTCTAGAGAAGACGCCGACTAACATCAACTTATCTATCTGAAATTTAAATTTTTTTCACCTAATCACCATGAAAGCAAGGACATAACATAGCTACTCAATTTAGTTCACACATAACTCTACCAACGACACAAAGGCTACGCTAGAGTATTCACAATGATGTTCGAACCCCAAACCCGTGTTCCTGTGATACGATCGTGCAACTGAAGAGATTCCCAAAACAAGGTTCATTTTCCAATTACGGATCCAAATTTAGGTTTTTGGCCAAACTAAAAAATAGAATTCTATGACTCAGAAATAGAATTCTATGACTATCATGACCGCCCCACCCGTAATTACACGTGAGGACCAGATTTATGTAATCCAGACAAATTTTACTCACATTTTTCAAAAGAGTGGAACGAATCTACCAATTGGAACGACCTTGGCTTAATCCCACGAAATGAATGTTAACCCAAATAAAAATAATGAAATTGGCATATCTCAAAGCTTTTAAAGCACGTGCACTCAACCATACCACCAAAAATCAAATTGGGCATTCTATGTCGTCATTGGACCTTTGGTAAAGGCTTGAGGAACGAGAGGATTAAGGTTTCAAAGGAAGTTGGACCTTACACGAATTTAGTATTCAAGAATACACTTAATACTTCTTTTCATGCAACATGAATGCCCATACCACTCGTGCTACCTTCACAGGACTTTGGTTTGAGGTGTCGTCCCTTGCACTCCCATTGTCCTTGTCATCTCTGGCACAATCATAGAAGTCATGGAGAAAAAGAGAACACTAGCGAGGAGAGTAATTCGTGAGATTCCACTAAACGGTGTTGTCTAGTCGAATGTCTCATTCAATAGAAAATTAAAATGGCACGCCACTTTCTTCGGCAACATGAATACATTTAGTTTATGCACTACGCCGTCAAACCCCTAGGTTACTTCTAGCGGCTGTGCGTTGTCCCGTGAAAGTTTCTAGAGAAGACGCCGACTAACATCAACTTATCTATCTGAAATTTAAATTTTTTTCACCTAATCACCATGAAAGCAAGGACATAACATAGCTACTCAATTTAGTTCACACATAACTCTACCAACGACACAAAGGCTACGCTAGAGTATTCACAATGATGTTCGAACCCCAAACCCGTGTTCCTGTGATACGATCGTGCAACTGAAGAGATTCCCAAAACAAGGTTCATTTTCCAATTACGGATCCAAATTTAGGTTTTTGGCCAAACTAAAAAATAGAATTCTATGACTCAGAAATAGAATTCTATGACTATCATGACCGCCCCACCCGTAATTACACGTGAGGACCAGATTTATGTAATCCAGACAAATTTTACTCACATTTTTCAAAAGAGTGGAACGAATCTACCAATTGGAACGACCTTGGCTTAATCCCACGAAATGAATGTTAACCCAAATAAAAATAATGAAATTGGCATATCTCAAAGCTTTTAAAGCACGTGCACTCAACCATACCACCAAAAATCAAATTGGGCATTCTATGTCGTCATTGGACCTTTGGTAAAGGCTTGAGGAACGAGAGGATTAAGGTTTCAAAGGAAGTTGGACCTTACACGAATTTAGTATTCAAGAATACACTGAATACTTCTTTTCATGCAACATGAATGCCCATATCACCCACTCTTCCTTCACTAGACTTTGGATTGAGGTGTCGTCCCTCGGACTCCCTTTGCCCTTGTCATCTCTGGCACAATCATAAAAGTCATGGGGAAAAAGAGAACACTAGCTAGGTGGCAAATTCATGAGATTCCGTCAGAAGGAGCTGGACGCGAAATCTTTCTTGGAGGCATTCTAAAAATTAGAGATCAATACAAGAATCTAGGGAACAAGAGAGAATTATGGGTCTAGAAGGAATCCCTTGGGTTTATCAGAAACAGTTTGGGAGGTTTTAGGGGGTGGATCTGAAGGGTTTAAGAGAATGAAATATTTTTCTTCTGGTAGAATCCATTATAATTTTTTTGCCACAACGGGTACCAACCGGTAGGAAGCAGCATTCGACCTGCGGGTAGCTCAACACAAAGTTCCAACAATTTTTTGATTCTTTTTTTGTTTTTAATTTCTCCTCTTCAAAATAAAGTAAAACAAAACTAATTCGAACCCCAAGTCGTAAAACCCCATGTGGATCCAATTAAGTCCATAGTCATATTCCAGAGTGAGACAATTTCTTAGTATCTGCAACCTAGAAAGCTCAATAATCAGTCATGTTGAATGCCAAATTGAACAGAAAATTAAAATTGCACGCCACTTTCTTTGGCAGCATGAATACATTTAGCTTGTGCACAACGACATCACACCCCAAGGTTACTTCTGGCAGAAGAGCGTTGTCTAGTGAAAGTTTCTAGAGAAGACGCCTACTAACTTCAACTGATCTGTCTAAAGTTTTAATCAGTTTCCCGTAATCACCGGGAAAGCAAAGACATACCACATCTACTCAATCTCGTTCACACATAGCTCTACTAATGGCACAAAGGCTATGCAAGAGTATTCACAATGATGTTCAAACCCCAAACCCGTGTTTGTGTGATACGATCGTGGAACTGAAGGGATTCGCAAAACAAGGTTCATTTCCCCATAACGGATCCAAATTTGTGTCTTTGGCCAAACTAACCAACGTTTTCTCTCTCAGAAATTGAATTCTCTCACTGTCATGACCGCGCCACTCGCAAATGCACGTTAGGAGCAAATTTATGTAATCCAGACAAATTTTACTCACATTATTGTAAAGGGTTGAACGAATCCACTAGTTGGAATTACCATGGCATAATCCAACGAAATGAATGTTAACCAACATAAGAATAATGAAATTGACATATCTCATTGCTATTAGAGCATGTGCGCTCAACTATAGCTCTGAAATTAAAATAGGGCATTCTATGTCATCATTGGACCAATGGTAAAGGCTTGAGGAACGAAGGGATTATGGTTTCAAGAGAAGTTGGACCTTACATGAATTTTGTATTCAACAATACACTGAATACTTCTTTTCATGCAACATGAATGCCCATATCACCCACTCTTCCTTCACAGGACTTTGGATTGAGGTGTTGTCCATTGGACTCCCTTTGCCCTTGTCATCTCTGGCACAATCATAGAAGTCATGGAGAAAAGGAGAACACTAGCTAGGTGGCAAATTCAGGAGATTCCGTCAGAATGAGCTGGGTCTCGAAATCTTTCTTGGTGGCATTCTAAAAATCAGAGATCAATACAAGAATCTAGGGGANAGAATACACTGAATACTTCTTTTCATCCAACATGAATGCCCATATCACCCACTATTCCTTCACAGGACTTTGGATTGAGGTGTTGTCCATTGGACTCCCTTTGCCCTTGTCATCTCTGGCACAATCATAGAAGTCATGGAGAAAAGGAGAACACTAGCTAGGTGGCAAATTCAGGAGATTCCGTCAGAATGAGCTGGGTCTCGAAATCTTTCTTGGTGGCATTCTAAAAATCAGAGATCAATACAAGAATCTAGGGGAACTAGAGCGAATTATGGGTCTAGAGGGCATCCCTTGGGTTTAACAGAAACAGTTGGAGATGTTTAAGGGAGTGGATCTGAACGGTTTGAGAGAAGGAAATGTTTTTCTACTAGTAGCATACGTTATATTTTTTTTACCACAACAGGTACTAACCCGTTAGGAAGCAGCATTCGACCAGCTGGTAGCTCAATACAAAGTTCCAAGAATTTTTTTGATTCTTTTTTTTTTTATTTCTCCTCTTCAAAATAAAGTAANTACCACAACAGGTACTAACCCGTTAGGAAGCAGCATTCGACCAGCTGGTAGCTCAATACAAAGTTCCAAGAATTTTTTTGATTCTTTTTTTTTTTATTTCTCCTCTTCAAAATAAAGTAAAAAAAAACTAATTCCTACCCCAAGTCGTAAAACTCAAAGTGGATCCAATTAAGTCCTTAGTCTTTTTCCATATTGAGCCAAATTCTTAGTATTTGCAACTTAAAAAGCTCAATAATCAGTNTCTAAGATTCAGCACTTTCTAGAACAAATGATACGACTATCAAAGGATCGTTTGATTCAATTAGTTCTCAATAGCAAATTGCCAACCACAAATAGCCCATAAATGCCAAATTTATCATGAAAGATGCAAATAAATTGCTTTTGTCAGACAACTTATAGAAATAATATACATGGAATTGATTGTTCTCTTCACGCATAATGTAACCAAAGTAGATGTCAACTTATTACTGTGTTATTTGTATTTCATTACAGAAGTATTTTACTGTTGAGAACTGCAACTGGTTCCATTCCTATCCTATATCTGACAAAATCCTCACACACTTAGTCGCTATATTCCCATATTAAACCCTTTCAGATGTCCAATAAAAGCAAAAAAGATACTTTGGATGGTTATTCAGACAATAATCTAATGCTAAATTCTACAGGAAAAAAAAAACCAAATGGAAAGGACAAAGGCAATGGAAATGGCAATGGCAATGGCAATGGCAATGGAAATGGCAATGGCAATGGCAATGGCAATGGAAATGGCAAAGGCAATGGCAATGGCAAATATGGGTCTCAAAAAAAGATCAGTTATTCAGAAAGGAAGGAAAGAAAAAACATTGTTATGTCCAACAAAAGCAATAAAACTAGCAAGAACTGCAACAAATTTGCATACAAGAAATTTTGAATACTTGAATGAGCTCAACTCAGTTCAAAGTGCATCTGAGGCACACACTAAAATGTCAATTCTCAGTTTTATAAGGGCAAGAGAAGAACCAAAATGCAAGATTGATGCAGGAGTACTGACAATTTTGAGTTCAAAGTACACACCTTTAACTTTGCTTCTCAAATTCTCAGCCAAATTTGCCACAGTACCGCAAAGTCTTGATTCTGCAGCTAAAGAATTAACAATTCCCTCTATAGATCTCAACTCCTCATGAAACTCGGAATGCAGAACCATCGAAGAGAAATGCTCATCCACAACCAATCCAAAACATTTCACAATGTCTTCAAAAGTAGGTACCCAATTGCAAGCTTTCAATCCCAACATAGAGGACGCCTTAGGGCAAGGACACGCTTGGGGAAACCTCTCATACTTCCTTACCCACTTCCCCAAATACCTAATCAAACCCATCATCTCATCACCATTCAACTTACTGATACAAGAAGCAAATAGCACTTCATCAAGATTTGACGATCCAAATAAATAATGCAAACACAATTCATTAACTGAAAACCCATCATGTGCTACCATAAGCAAAACTGATGCCTCCTTTGCCAAGCTCAATTTCTTCCCACTAAGACTCTTATCATTCACTTTCTCAATAGCCATTAAAGTTTGGCTCTCCCATTCTTTCCACACACTAACCATGCTCTTATAACCCTCTGTAGGTGGCGAAAGAAAATACTTCAAAATGTGAAGTATATCAATGGTCTGAAGATCCGAAACATACTTCACACACAAACATATCAAATCCGACCTCTTCTTCTCAATCAAACTGAAAATTAAATTTGAAAGGTACGAATGTTCAACAAAACCATTAACAATAACAATTTCTAGCACCTCCCAAATCTCAAAGACAATACAAGCCTCCATAATTAAGCCTAAAACATCGCGACCCATCAAAAACCCTACCTTTTCGATTAATTGAAGAGTGTAGCCCTCGTCAGACGGATCAACCCCAACTGAAATACCAATCTTTTCACTATTTTTAACTAAATATGAATTGAATATCTCGATGAACTCGGCTTTAGTGAAGGTGTTGAGGCTTTTGAGCTTTCGCTTTAGCTTTTTGAAGAATTTCTGGGATAATTCAATGAGTTCGGTGTCGGTTTGAGAAATTTGAAATCCTTCGACACGTTTTGGAAGTGAGGGGTCGTTTGAGGAATCGAGTAGGGGCTTTAGGTTTAGGAAAATTGGGTCTGGGTTGAGAATGATTGGGTAGGATGATTCGACGGTGGTTGGATTGGGATTCGCCGAAGCCTTTGTGATCACTTCAAGTAAAGACATTGAATCAAAAAATAGCTAAAACAAGCTGAGGCAGACGTTTTACAAGAAAAGAGTAGGAAATTTTTCTCTGGAACCAGACTTGTGAAGTGGAATAAGAACGACTAAAGTTAGTTTTTTGCAAACAAGTTCGGTGTAAAGCACGAACCTTGAAAGGAGAGAGAAATGACGTCGTAGCGGCGGCGGAGGAGGAAGCTTTTGAAGCCCTAAGTGTGGTGGTGAGTTTGGCGCCTGAACAAGAAAGAAAGCAAAACAGAGCTTGGACCGGACGGTTTTGTTAATAGAGATGGGCTTAAAGGCTCATGGGCTCTGTACTTATGGGACATAGGGAGAGGATTACTATAACTTTTTGCGTTACTTAGGATCGATCCCATATTTTTTTAAATCAATCAAGAACTCCAAAAACTATAAATAATCCTCAAAATTTATAAATAATTCTAAAAAATTGCCTTCTCTCTCTTCTTTTGGGTATATCATGTATGTATGCATGATATACCGTGTATATTTGAGTAACAAGTCTATTTAGAACTGACTTTTTTTTTAGTAAAAAATAGAAATTTGAAATTTTTTGTGAAAAAATCATAGTTAAAAAAATTCTTAGAATTAATATTCTCAAAAACATCGGTTTTTCTTTAGATAAGCTTGATTTATAATTGGTGCTGATAAAAATTGTTCTAACCCAATAAATTAATGGAAAAATCGCTTAATAAACCCGAGTCTAAACAGATCAACATCTTTTCCTTTGAGTCCAACAAAAACTGAAGTTTTCATCCCCCAAATCAGAAGCCAGTTAATCCTAGAATCATTCACATAATAATATATCAAGAAATGAAAAAACAAAAAAAACATATACTTTTGTTACAATACTAATGAAACGGGTCATTCATATTAGTCTAACCTGAACCTATTTATTATTATTATAATTGGTTGTATTTTTTTTTTTATTCGTGACGTATCAAGTTCATGTTATTTTATGTGTTGTGTTAGAGTTATATTGAACTAGTATATATATGTGAAAAAGAAAAATTTATTAAATTAAACAATATTGATACTTGAACTTATATTGTTAACCTAATTCATGGGTACGGTACGATCTTGATAGAGCAAAGCTTCATAAGTACCCGAAGCTCTTGATAATGTAGCTGTAGGCCTCTAACCAGGCTAGCCTGTGTTAGCTTCTTGCTTATAGCATTCAGAACTACAGTTCTAGCAATCTTAAGAAACTCTGGGTAAAATCATGTTAAGCAAGTAATCCATAGCATAATCTGGACAGCAAAATCAAAACCAAACTGCATATATTGAGAAGTAGATGTCACAAAGCAAAATGTCATTTTTATTTTTCATGAGACTCGAGAATGTGCGCTTATGTTTGATCCTCATTGACTTATAATTATTAGCTGCCCATCATCTTTGTGATTTATGGTTGAAATAATCTGCGTTCGTCTGTCACAATGTGCCTCTTCAAGTAGAAGCTGGAACTTCCCATTGTGGTGGCAGGGGACCGAAGTCGTATATAATCTCTCTGTGGCAAGACCAGACAAGCTTTATTGCTTCAGGAGTCCCTATTCCGGCTCCTCTTGGATCTCCAGCTGGCCCAAACCTGAAGCAGATTATCGTTTTCAAAATATTAACTTGTTGAAAAGATCACAA